CACAGCCAAAAATGAATAAATAAATAATTTAAAAAATGAAACCACAAAAGTACAAAGAGAAAACTTGAGTGAGGTTTATTGATAACCTTGTAGTAAGGACGGTTTGTCTAATCAGAATATAAAGCCTAGAAGCCACGTAACGTCAGTAAATTTGCTACTGGAAATTAAAAAAAAAAATCACACTCAGCAGTATCAGAAGATAAATTGGGGGAAAAAATTTATCAAAAGGTTAATGTCTTTATTTACAAGGTCTATATCAATAAGAATAAAGAGAATGTCTGTTTGTGGGGAAAGGATTTGACCAGGCACTATGAAATACAAATGGCCAATAAACCAATGAAAGATGATCAATAGCACTTATAATGCAAGAAATCCACTTAAAATCACAATCAAATTGACAGAATTTTAAATTATTTTATGGTATTCAGAGTTAGAAAGATTCAGATTAATACACACTCCATCATTGATATAGAGTGAGTTAGTGCACTTTTCTAAGTTTTTCAAAGAATAATTGAAAAAAACTGTTACTTTTTTTTTTTAATGTATGTTTTTGGAGTATAGTTAGTTGATTTACGATATTGTATTAATTCCGTCATATAGCAAAGTGATTCAGTAAAACACACACATGTATTCTTTTCCATATTCCCTATCACGTTTTTGAACCCATAAACCTGATTGAGCATTTCACTGCTAGAAATCTTCTCTACAAGTATATTCCCAAATGTAAGCCAAGAATATTCACAGCAGTGTACTTTTGTAATCACTCAAATTAACACTACAACTGTTCATGAAGAGGTGACTGGTGGGAAATCATGCTACTTACATACAACAGAATCATATCCCGCTGATAAATCAATTAGGTGAAAACGTATATGCTGCCAGCTCCCTAGTCTTGGCTTCCAAATATCACTTTCCACTAAAAGGAACCAGGACTTCTTGGAGAAAAGGCTGATTCCAGGTCGGTGGCATAGAAAGTGTGAGGAAACCCTGGAACATTTTGGTGCCAAAATGTTACCAGAATCTCAGGAAGGGCTCAGAGAATGAAGGGAACTCACCAAAAGGACACAGGAGCCAAATTGAAGTAGCTTTCAGTGGCCAGCTGAGATAATTTAAGCATCAAAATTAATTTTAAAATAGCTTAAATTGTTTTAGTTTATAAAAATAATAACACTGAATTACATAAATAAATAAATAATGAATAAATAAACGAATAAAATAAGAATGCAAAGGCTTAAAGTAATATAAACAAAACAAACACATGGATAAACAGTGGAAAGAGGAAAGCCCTTCTTTACAGTAGAATGCTGGCTAAAACATCAAGTTCTTTGCAGCAGAATACGAGAATGGGAATGACAGAACATCCTCAGTGGATGGGAAGCAAATGGATGAAAATCTGAGGAGGAGCTGGATTTCTTATACAAACTACACCTTAATTACAAAGGGGAAAAAAGGAAGTTTACAAGTGGAGAAATCTGACAGAAACCGCCTAAACCAAGTGATCAAAGTTAAAGGCACCCAGAACAAGTGGGATAAAATGACGTCTGCCCCCCCGCCCAAGATACCTTGATGTACCATCAAGTTATGGAATCACGTCAGGTGAATCCCTACTGAGGTACATTCTGCAAAACAGCTGGTGTGTACTCTTTTAAAATGTTTAGGTCCAGGAAGACAAAGCAAGGCTGAGGAATTTTTCCAGATTGGAGGTGACTAAGGAGATAAGACAATGAAATGCAATGTGTGACCCTGATTAAATCCTGGATCGGGGGTGGAGGGGGGTGGGAAAAAGCCATAAAGAACATAACAGGAAGACTTGAGGAATTTAAGGATGGACTGCCAATCGGGTAACAGCTATGTATGAATGTTAAATCTCCTGATAGTAATAACTGGACTGTGGTTATGGTAAAGAAAGTCCTGCCCTTGGCAAATACACACTGAGGTAATTTGGGGTAAGAGGTAGATGGTCTCTAACATCATCCAAAATGGTTCAGAAGAGAAATATGTAGATGGGTAGATAGGTAAAGCAAAGAGGGTGAAATGTCAGTCACCGGTGAATCTGGCTCATAGGTGCACAGGGTTCCTTCTACTGTTCTTGCAGGTTTTCTGAAGATCGGAAATTATATCAAAATTAATACATATGCTGCCATGGAAAGAGTTCCAAGACTTACGCAGCAAAAAAGGGAAGCTACAGAGCCTTGTGCATATGGTGCTGTTTTAGACAATATGTCCCTCCCCCTACAAAGGACACACAGGAAATGGTGATGTGATGGTTTTTGCGGGGACAGACCAGGAATTAATTCCTGGAGAGCGAATTTTTTACTTTTCATTTAGTTCATTTCTTTCTGTTTGAATTTTTCCTTCCTTCTGGTAAAAGATGTGAATTCGCTTCCTTTTCTTGTAAAAGATATGAATTCGCTTCCTTTTCTTTCTCCAATTAAAATGCAAACGCCCCTGCAAGTGGTCCCCCTCAGGGAAAAGGGCATGAAGCTGGAGGCCCAGGGGAGAGAGAAGCTGGGTGAGATGTCTTCGGAGACAGAGAGGCCCCAGCCCGGAGGATGCAGGAAGCAGGTGGGGATTCCAAGATCCGCTTAATTTATTTGGAGATCTGCCTTTGGAGAAACGGCAGGCAGGTGGGACAGACACCCGCCCCCCACCAGGGGACGTGCTGATAGCACCCTGAGCTCAGAATGGGTTGGGGTGTGACAGTTGAATTGCAACCCAGAGCAGGCCTTTAATTCAAGTTCCCATCTCCGGCCACGTGGCCCCCTTCTCCCTCTGGAGTGGCCGTTCCCTCTTCTCTCTGTTCCTCATTCCTGGGCTCATCATTGAGCCCTCCTCCCCTCCTTGGCTGGCTCAGCCGGGCCTGGAGCCGCTGACCGGGCCCTTCCCAATGTGTCTGCTTGGTCATCTCCAGCCTCTGACTCTTTGGCAGGAGAAACCCAGCTCAACCCAGTAGCCTGGCCACACCTCAGCGGTTCTCTAGAAATGGTAGATTAGAAGTTACATGATCATGGGCCAGACTGCGTAACTGCAGTGACGGCGTCAGTGCTGGCCAGGGGCTGGGCTGGGGGTGGGGTGGGGCGGACCGCAAGGGGGCCCACGGGAGGCAGACTGTGGGTGATGGAGACGTTCTACCAGGTGGCTCATAGGACAGCTGATAGGCTACACGCCGTGGTTAAATAACTTCTTCAGTGAAAATCGGTACATCTTATAGTATGTCAACAATACCTTTATAAACCAAAGTTTTTAACAGATTTTCTTTGATATGGATCATTTCTAAAGTCATTATGGAATTTGTTACAGTATTGCTTTTGCTTTATGTTTTTTGGCCACAAGGCAGGTGGGACTTTAGCTCCGCAGACCAGGGATCAGTCAGCACCCCTGCACTGGAAGGCGAAGGCTTAGACCATCAGACCACCAGGGAAGCTCAGAATGAAGGCGATTCTCTGCTGTTCAAGTAACCTGACAGGCTCTGGGAATGAAATGAGTAGGGTCTACAATTTTTTTCTCCTAAGACCCATCCCTCTGGGTTCTGCCCACTACGCAGACCCACCCACCAGATCAGCACGAACTGATCCAGACTGGTAGGAAGCAGTAGTAGCCGCAGAGATGGGCGGGTGGGATTTTTATTATTTAGGGGACGTCCCTGGTGGCTCAGCGGATGAGAATCTGCCTGCCAATGCAGGGGACACAGGTTCCAACCCTGGTCCAGAAGATTCCACAAGGCGAGGAACACCTAAGCCAAGGCATGACTACTGAGTCCGTGCTGTGGGGCCAGGGAGCTGTGACCTCAGGCCTGTTTGCTGCAACTCCTGACGTCTGAGCATCTGGAGCCTGTGCTCCATGACAAGAGGAGCCACGGCAGCAAGAAGCCTGGGCACAACAACCAGAGACCAATCCCTGGTCACCGCAACTAAAGGAAGCCCTCAAAACACCGAAAGATCCAGCGCAGCCAAAGAAAAAAATAAATTTTTTAAATTATGTAAGACCCAAAATGGTCTGTCAGTGTTTCTGTCTTCTAAGGGAAGCCAGAATTTCTATCAAATCATTATAGATCCCTTTTTCTTAGAGGGTGGTGGCTTTCTAGGGCCCGAGAAGGAAACTAGACAGTGCCAACATCATTGCAGTCCAGGATTTTTGGTCCTGAAGGGGAAAGGCCTCCAAGGGGTGATGGCGGGGCTGGAGGCGGGGCTGGTAAACCGAGGGCAGCCTCTGGAGACCAGGTGGGCAGGGTCAGCAGCAGAGAGGACCAGCTCGAGGCCCCAGCCTAGGATTCTGGGATCTGAATCCAAGGTCAGAAGTGATGCTGGCTGCCCCAGCACCTCTGGCTCTGTTGGGGACCTAACTGAGCAGAAGGGGAGGTGGGGGTTGGTTAGGAGGTGGGATTGTGGCCAAGCAGAGCGGGCTGCTCTGCCTGAGATGTGGGAGCAATATGGTTCTTTGTCCAGGAGCAGGAGGCTTGGAACTGGGCAGCCAGGACAAATGGGGGCTGGGACCAGAGAGGGCGGAGGGGGGACCAGGGAGGGGGACTGGGATGGGGGTGTCAGTGGGGGATCTGGGCCAGGTGGGAATGGGATCGCTGAAGAGAAGCTGTCTGACATTTATTTCAAATTGCCTGTGTGGGGCTGGGATGCAAGTCCTCCACCTCTGCAAACCTTTGGCAGAGTCTGTAAGTACGGGTCCGTCTGTGAACGATCACTTGGATGCATTGGAGCAGAAGGCCTGGGCGGAGCACAAACCTACACAAACCCAGGGTGGCAAAAAGATTAGTTGAAACTGATGAAACTCCTCTAAGGCGGAAATAATGACTGAGCGGGTACTGTGGTGCCTTCCTGTTTGCTATTATTGCGCCTTGGGCAGCAGGAGTTGATGCGTGGACAGTGGGGCACAGAGCAGGCAGGCAGGATGTTGGCAGTATTGGGAGAGGGGACCATCCCTGCACACAGCCATCGGCACCAGGCCTGCGGCCACCAGCCCAGCCCTGGGCCACCATCCTGGGCCACTGCGGTGACATCACAGAGAAGAGCAACGCCCTCCTTCAAGCAGCCGGTGGACATGCTGAAGACTCTGGCCAGGCTGATTTGCAAAGGCCCTGGTCAGCGGTGCTAGGGAGCCTCGGGGACAGCGCGGAGGCTCGTGGCCCTTTGCCTCCAGCCCTGCTGCCCGGAGGAGGAGAAGAGAGTGAAAGCAAAGACAGAAGAATCCTAGGGGTCCGATGATGACCTGGGCTTGTGTCTTTTTGATTAAACCTCTTTCGTAACATGGGTCAGTAAAAAGCTGAAGATTAAAAAAAAAAAACACTAGTGATCACGGCTCTTGGGGACTAGAAGAGGGTGTGGAGATAAAATAACTGACAGTGGTAAAGAGGAAGAGTGACTTAGAAAAGGCAGTTAAGAATTGAGCAAAAGCAGGAGCTCAGAAGCAGAGGAGCATGTGGAACATACTACCATCTCACCTAGCATCACACACCACCTCCGGCATCAAATTTCTGGAAAGACAGGAAAGCTAAAGGGAAACAGGGCTTTTCACTGTAAGTGGGGGTTGGCTGGAGTCCATTCCACCTGAATCACCAAGGACAAGGATCTCAGTTGCGTTCTGGATTATTGCATTTTTAAAAACAACAGTATTAATAGCTAGTGTTCAAAGAGGTCCTAATAAGCACCAAGCTCTGTATTAGGCCCTTTATATATATTATCTCACTTAAACCATACAACCACAAGGAGTAGGTTTTATTAGCCCCCCAATTTATTTGTTTAATTTTATTGAAGTATAGTTGATTTAACAACTATATGCTATGTAACAAACTGAATCAGTTATATATGTATATATATATACATATATATATTTTTTTTTCTTTTTCATATTCTTTGCCATTATGGTTTATCACAGGACATTGAATGTAGTTCCTTGGGCTATACGTAAGACCTGTCATTTGTCCAGTCTCCAAACAATAGTTTGCATCTGTTAATCCCAAACTTTCACTTCATCCCTCCCCTACCTCCTTCTGCCTCAACAACCACAAATCTGTTCTCTGTGTCTGTGAGTGTTTCCATTTCATACATAAATTCATTTATGTCATATTTTAGATTCCACATTTAAGTGAAATCATATGGTATTTGTCTTTGACTTATTTGGCTTAGTATGATAATCTCTAGGTCCATTCATGTTGATGCAAATAGCATTATTTCATTCTTTTTTATGGCTCAGTAGTATTTCATTGTATATATGTACCACATCTTCTTTACCTGTTCATCTGTCAATGGATATTTAGGTTGCTTCCATGTCCTGGTTACTGTAAATAGTTCTGCAATGAACATAGGGGTACATGTATCTTTTTGAATTATGGTTTTCTCCAGATAGATGCCCAGGAGTAGGATTGCAGGATCATATGGTAACTCTATTTTTAGTTTTTTGAAAGCCCTCCATAGCTGTTGCATTAATTTACATTTCCACCAACTCTGTAAGAAGGTTTCCCTTTTTCCGCACCCTCTCCAGCACTTGTTATTTGTAGACTTTTTAATGATTACTAGCCCCCACTTTATAGATTGTGGTTTTCATTCTGTCTGCCCTCTGATGGATGAGGATAAGAGGCTTCTGCAAGTTTCCTGATGCGGGGGCTGGCTATGGGGGAAACTGCGTCTTGCTCTGGTGGGCAGGGCCATGCCGAGTAAATCTTTAATCCAGTTTCCTGCTGATGGGTTAGGCTGTGCTCCCTCCCTGTATTTTGGCCTGAGGGGCCCAGTCCTCGGAGCTCCAGTCTCTATAGGAGGCTATAGGTTCTATAGGATGACTTCCCTGATGGCTCAGGTGGTAAAAGTGTTTGCCTACAACATGGGAAACTGAGTTCGATCCCTGGGTTGGGAAGATCCCCTGGAGAAGGAAATGGCAACACACTCTAGTACTATTGCCTGGAAAATTTCATGGACGGAGGAGCCTGGTAGGCTAGGTAGGCTGCAGTCCATGGGGTCACAGAGTCGGACACGACTGAGCAACTTCACTTTCATTTTCTATGGGATAACGGCAACCTCCTCCAAAAGGACTTATGCCAGCATGCTGCACCTCCCACGACTGCTGCCTGTGACCTGACCCTGTGGGAGGCCACTGCTGACCCAGGCTTCCGCCGGAGACTGCCAAACACTCACAGGTGAGTCAGGTCCAGTCTTCTGGGAGGTCAGTTCTCCTTTCTCCTGGGTGCTGGTGCACAGAGGGTTTTGTTTGCGCCCTCCAAGAGTCTGTGTTTTCCCAGTCCTTTGGAAGTTCTGTAATAAACTCCTGCTGACCTTTAAAGTCAGATTCCCTGGGGATTCCCAGTCCTTTCACCAGACTGCCAGGTAGGGACGTCTATTGTGGGGCCTCAAACTTTCGCAACAGTTCGAGAACTTCTTTGATATAATTGTTCTCCAGTTTGTGGATTGCCTACCCGGCAGCTCTGTAGTGGGGATAATGTCAACCTCCCCCAAGAGGACTTATGCCACATGCCACGCCTCCCAGGTCTGCTGCAGCCAGAGCCCCTGTCCCCACAGAAGGCCACTGCTGACTCGTGCCTCTGTAGGAGACCCTCAAACACATGATTTTGAGCAAACTCTGAGAGATAGTGAAGGACGGGGAAGCCTGGCATGCGGCAGTCCAAGGGGTGGCAAAGAGTTGGACATGACTGAGCAGTTTAGCAAGAACAACAATTTAGAGATAAGAAAAGTAAAGTTCAGTGAGGTCCAGTGAACTGCCTCTTCACAAAGCCAAAAAAATACAGAGTCAGGGTTACGATCATATCTCTGACTCCGGAGACCACTTCTAATCAAATGTTAAAGGTACCACCAGTACCACCAGTCTGCCTTGGCCAATTCCCCATTCATTCAGTACATTTTTTACTGAGCACCTGTGATGTTCCAGGCACTGGCAATGCAGCAGCGAACTACATCTCTGCCCCCATGGAGTACAGGTTCAGACCTCAGAACTAAGGTGTACTAAGAGACATCCTACCAGGAAGAACACACACGCCCAACCCACATTCACAGTTTCCCCACCACCACGGCCAAGGGATGGGCAACTTCTTCCTCTTTCATTTGAATTTACGGGAATAAAAACCTATGCATGTAAAAATGAAGGGAGCTTACAAACTGATTTCCTCCCCCAGTATCATCCCTCCAAGAAGGGTGACTCAGGGCCCCTAATCCCAGCTCCGTGTGTTTCACCCATGGTTTGAGGCACGATGGCCAGCTGGCCCAGGTCTCACTCACAGAGGCAGAGGTTGACTGCACATTCTTCCTTTCCTCACTGCAGCTGGCTCTGTGCTAAAAATGGACTCAAGTTCATTCTCACCATCAGTCTCTTTCAGCCCACCCTCGCCTCCCACCATCTTCCCTAGAAGAAAGGCGGATGTCTTCATGCCCACCAACTAAACACTTTTTCCAACCTTTGTGACAGGAGAATTTTTGTTTGTTGCAGGAACCTGTCCTGACTTGCAGAGTCCTCTCCCTGCAGGGCTGGGATAAGACAAACTTGGAATGATAATGAAAGAATTGCTGAAATCACTGAACCAGAGCTGACTCCGGGGCTGGGGGCCTGGGGAATTCCTCCGTCCGCCCAGGGGCTGTTTTATCACCTTCCTATCTTTCAATCTGCCTTTTCTTACAATGTATGAGTCAGCTTCCAGATTGCTCAGAAAACAGTCTTTTCCTTACTCAAAGGAGCTCAGTTCTGCTTGGTTCTCAGGGATGGAGCCAGAGGATATTTATCTTTGACTTACCCGCTGAAGAATATTTTTATTGTGAGACACCCCCCTCGGAAATGGTATCCTTATCAGCAGTGCCGTAAGGCCTCTATATCAGAACAAATTAGCACTGGACTCTGTATGGCTTGGTCCCTGTCTCTCATCGCGGTAACTCTCAGGGAGTCACATGCCTCCAGTAAGATTCTAGATACCTCTGATGAGAGCTGGAGCCCCTGGTACAGTGGTACCCAGGGTTGTGCCAGGCACTCAGGCTGCTCAGTGCTTCTGGATTATCCAAAATAGCATATTCAGCCTCAAAACAGGAAGAAAAAGAAAGATTTTTCTTCTGCAGCTGAACATAATTTTGTGTAAACAATCAGCTCACCCATCTCTAGAACAGGATAAAGACCAGATGTAGGCAGTGAGTACGTCTAATCTGGAGGGAATAAGGGGTTTAACAAGATAAACATCTTGGGATGTGATAAAACCCAGAGACTCCTTCCTGGCCTGTCATTAATTTTTTTTTAAATTCAGCAATATGTGACTTATCAGAGAGATTTATATTCAGTTGAAAACAGTTATTTTGAGCTGAGCAAGTGAGAATGCTTAAATTATAGTGGCACAGAGTGAACTTTTAGCATTTCAATGGATGTCTCATTAAGTTTCTCAGGAACAGTGATTTTCAGAGGACAGGATTAAAAGGAAATCTTTTGTGATGTCACACAGGAAACAGACTCTACATAGGGCCCAGCACCCATAGGAGTTCAATCAAATTTTATTTATGAAAATAAATTTATTTAAAAAATTGATTTATTAAAGGAACATATTGAACTGAAAACATGTCAAGCACTATTCTAAGCGTTTTACAACTATTTACTTATGTTCCTTTCTCTTTCTGCTTTGAGGTCAAGTGTTGTTTAGCAGAGACAATAGCATAAAAGACGAGACTCTGAGCATCCTGGCACACCTGGGTCAACCCTGGTCGCACTGACCCCTTTGCTTGTGTTGATGTCTGTTTCTAAGAGCTAACTTCAGACTCAGGCTGTGTCCAGGTCAGAGTTCCTCTATGTCAGACATGGCTTTTACCATCTTATCATCTGTCCTTCATAACAAGCTCCCCAGCCCCTCCCATCTCTGACCTGTGTGTTCTGTTGCTTTCAGGCTGAACCACATAAAACTGCTAATCTTTGTTGCTGATGTTTCAACTGGTTTTGTTTTATTTAAAAAAAAGATCATTTAATGCGATTCAACCTTACGCTGTCTACATTTTTTAAAATCGAGGGATAGTTGATCTGAGACTTCCCAGTGGCTCAGCAGTAAAGAATCTGCCTGCAACGCAGGAGCCACGGGACATGTAGGTTCGATCCCTGGCTCTGAAAGATATCCTGGAGGAGGGCATGGCAATCCACTCCAGTATTCTTGCCTGGAGAATCCATCCCATGGAGAGAGGAGCCCGGCAGGCTACAGTCCATGGGGGCACAAAGAGTCGGACGTCACTGAAGCAACTTAGCGCCAAGCACCATAGTTGATTTACAATATTAGTTTCAGGTACACAACATAGTGATTCAAAATTTTTACAGATTATACTCTAGCTCAGTTGGTAAAGAATCCGCCTGCACTGCAGGAGACCCCAGTTTGATTCCTGGGTTGGGAAGATCCACTGGAGAAGGGATAGGCTACCCACTCCAGTATTCTGGGGCTTCCCTTAAGGCTCAGCTGGTAAAGAATCTGCCTGCAACGTGGGAGACCTGGATTCGATTTCTGGGTTGGGAAGATCCCCTGGAGAAGGGAAAGGCTACCCACTCCAGTATTCTGGCCTGGAAAATTCCATGGACTGCATAGTCCAAGGGGTCACTAAGAGTCAGACATGACTGCGTGACTTTCACTTTCATAGCTATTACAAAATATTAGATATATTCCCCATACTGTACAATGTATTCTCAGTAACTTATTTATCCTATACATAGTAGTTTGTTAATTCTCTACCCCATCATGTCACTCCCCCCTTCCTTCTTCCCGCTGGTAACCACGAGTTTGTTCTCTATAGCTGTGACTCTGCTTCTTTTTTGTTATATTCACTAGTTTTTTGTATTTTTTTAGATTCCTCATATAAGTAATATCATACAGTATTTGCCTTTCTCTGACATATTTCACTAAGCATAATGCCCTCCAAGTCCATCCATCCATGTTGCCTGCCTTTTAAAGAGCAACTGGCTGCTTGGAGCTGTCTGAGTAACTTGCCCTAAAGTCCCAGAGGTAGTTAACAGCAGTACCTGGATTTAAAATCCTTCTGAACTTACTAGTATGCTACTTTTAGCTACATATTAAAAACTTGCACTCAAAAACAGCTGCTGGGGTTTGAACATCAGATCATTATTCACTTAAAAGCCTGTGACTTTGGGATGAAGACTTTTTCTCTCTGTGCTTCAGTCTTCTCATCTGTAAAATGGAGATAATAATAATGCAGTCCAATTTGTAGGATGGCCTTGAGGATTGGACGAGGAAACCTAAGTACAGAATTTAGTGTCAGGCACTTACAAGGGTCCATCTTCCCTGGTGGCTCAGATGGTAAAGCATCTGTCTGCAATGCAGGAGACCCTGGTTCGATCCCTGGGTTGGGAAGATTCCCCTGGAAAAGGAAATGGCAACCCACTCCAGTATTCTTGCCTGGAAAATCCCATGGTGAGAGGAGCCTGATAGGTTATAGTCCATGGGGTCGCAAAGAGTTGGACACGACTAAGAGACTTCACTTTCTTTTCTAGTCAAGACTACGGTTTTTCCAGTAGTCATATATGGATGTGAGAGTTGGACTATAAAAAAGCTGAGCACCAAAGAATTGATGCTTTTGAACTGTGGTGTTGGAGAAGACTCTTGAGAGCCCCTTGTCAGCAAGAAGATCAAACCAGTCCATCCTAAAGGAGATCAGTCCTGAATATTCATTGGAAGGACTGATGGCTGAAGCTGAAGCTCCAATACTTTGGCCACCTGATTCGAAGAACTGATTCACTGGAAAAGACCCTGATGCTGGGAAAGACTGAAGGCAGGAGAAGAGGATTATAGAGGATGACATGGGTGGATGGCATCACCAACTCGATGGCAATAAGTTTGAGCAAGCTCCAGGAATTAGTGATTAACAGGGAAGTCTAGTGTTCTGCAGTCCATGGGGTCACAGAGTCGGACATAACTGAGAGACTGAACTGAACTGACTGACTTTTTAAGCACTCTGTCACTCTGTAAAGTCAGCTATTATCTTCAGATTGCCTTTGATACTTTATCCCTGCTTGAGTAATAACACACACACACACACACACAAACACACACACACACATCTTTGTCTGCTTATATGTTGCCCTCGAACTGAGAAACTCAATAATAAAATCGAATCATGATGCCAAGCAGGTAGGAGATGAAGGATTAACAGGCTGAGAGATAGTCTCACATTTCCGCCCGTTACTGGGGCTGAACCTGCAGTTTTGAGTTACACTGTTAGATTTTCCCCCGCTCTTCTTAATTTTTTTTCAAGGGGAAGCGGAGGTTGTCACGCCTAGGGACTACAGGTGTGATTTATCATTCTCAATATGAGCGCAGGAGTCTTCAGACCAGGGGAGGGATTGCAGCCAGAGAAGCTGCAGGCCCAGGGTAATTCTTGTAAACCGTCCCTAAATCCATTCTAGCGGCGGTGGGGGGTGGGATCGGGAAATTCCCCCACTTCAAAGTCTAGGAAGCGTGGTCAGGCTGACCCCGGGGCGGGTGAGGAAATCCCCATCTTCCTCGTCCCAGAAAGCGCTCAGGTAGAAAGCGCACGTCTAGAGCACACGGGGGCGTTTTCCCCGGGGTCGGTCCGGGCAGGGGCGGGGACGTCTGGACCGGCGGCCCCTTTAAGGCCGGCGGTCCCTTTAAGGCCGCGACCCACGTGTCCCGTGACGTCAGAGCAGGAAGTGTTTGAGGAAGTGGCGCCCGTCTGGCGGCTCCGAGGGCCCCGCACGTTCATGTCTTCGGGGCGGCGCCCGCGCCCCGCCGCCAGGTGAGTGCCTCGGGCTGGCGCCCCTGGTGTCACCCGCCCCCCGTCTCCGAGGCTCCCAGAGACGCGCATGACCGGCCCCGAGTCCGAGGCTTCCCGGGAAGGGAGGGCTGGGAGGCCCCGGCGGGGTGGTGCCGGGCGGGGGCCCGGGACGCGGCGGTGATTCGTCGGGGCCTCGGGGGCGCTGAGCGGGGAGGCGGCGGGGCGGGGGCGCAGCCCGGGAATCCCCTGGTAGGTCCTGGGCGCGGGGGCGGCTTGTCCTGGGCGGGACCCCCCCCGGGACCCCACCCCCTGCTGCTTCCATACAGCTTCGGGGTGGGGTGGGGTGGGTGGGGGGCTGCGAAAGACAGGACTTGGCTCCCCAAACGAAAACCAGACCCAGCCACCTGCTTTTATGTACGGAGATGAAAAATCAGTTCCGATTTTTCTTTCCCATCGAAGCGCTGTGGCATCTCTTAACCTTGTCCATCTTCTCGAGTCCCACTTTTCCTTAACCATCACCTTTTGTCCCCCCGCCCCACATTGCTTGCAGCGTTAGCCGGACTTCAGTATGAGCTGGTCACCTTCCCTACCAACCCAGACATGTGGGGCCTGGGAAATGAAAGAGCGGCTTGGGACAGGGGGATTTGGGAACGTCATCCGATGGCACAATCAGGTAGGCTATGTGCTGCTGGGAGGAGCCGCGGTGCGGCACGGTTGCGGGGTGCAGACTGAGTCTCCCCGCCCCGCCCCGTAAATGGGACTCATCTTGGCCCTGGGCTTCTTGGGAGAGAAAGGGCCTGGGAAGGCCCTAAGCTGACTCTAAGTTAGTGGTCTCCAAGTTTTACTATGTCACCTAAATAAATAGTTAAAAAAAAAAAAAGATTAAGTTTTCAGCTTCAAATATATATTTAAAAAATTACCTATCTTTGCTAACCTAATATTATCACCTACTAATGTATTGTGTACTAATGTATTGGATGTTATGAAACACGCAAACATGTTTTCATACTTTAGAAAAGTCTAAAGTGTGAAAATATTTTTAAAAGTTAATTTAAAAAACATTTTAAATACTTAGCAGTTACGGTGTCTTCCCAGTGTTGTTTGCAATACCTCACAGCGAGAGTTATACAAAGGCACACGAAAATGAGAATTATTGTTGAGGATGGTGGGTGAACATGTGCGTTTCAAGTAATTTTTATAATTTTGAATTTTGGGGGCCGATTTTACATCTCATAGATCCTCTTTATTTTCTTAATGTCTTTGACACATGAATTTTTCACCCCACAAGCGTTAGGGCTTCCGTATTCCTGTTTGTCCTGGTGTTACATGCACTGAAATTCTCCACAAGAATCTCTTTAAGCCACTCATACATTTTATGAGAGTCTTTTTATTAAAATCCTGGAATGCAAAATCAAGTGGGCCTCAGGAAGCATCACTACGAAGAAAGCTAGTGGAGGTGATAGAATTCCAGTTGAGCTACTTCAAATCCTAAAAGATGATGCTGTGAAAGTGCTGCACTCAATGTGCCAGCAAATTTGGAAAACTCAGCAGTGGCCACAGGACTGGGAAAGTTCAGTTTTCATTCCAATCCCAAAGAAAGGCAGTGCCAAAGAATGTTCAAACTACTGCACAACTACACTCATCTCAGGCGTTAACAAAGTATTGCTCAAAATCCTCCAAGTCAGACTTCAGTAGTACATGAACCATGAACTTGCAGATGTTTAAGCTGGATTTAGAGAAGGCAGAGGAACCTGAGATCAAATTGCCAACATCCATTGGATCATCGAAAAAGCAAGAGAGTTCCAGAAAAACATCTACTTTTGCTTTATTGACTATGCCAAAGCCTTTGACTGTGTGGATCACAAACAACAAACTGTAGAAAATTCTTGAAGAGATGGGAATACCAGACCACCTGACCTGCCTCCTGAGAAATCTGTATGCAGGTCAAGAAGCAACAGTTAGAACTGGACATGGAACAACAGACTGGTTTCAAATTGGGAAAGGAGTATGTCAAGGCAGCATATTGTCACCATGCTTATTTAACTTATATGCAGAGTACATCATGAGAAATGCTGGGCTGGATGAAACACAAGCTGGAATCAAGATTGCCGGGAGAAATATCAATAACCTCAGATATTCAGATGACACCACCCTTATGGCAGAGAGTGAGGAAGAACTAAAGAGCCTCTTGATGAAAGTGGAAGAGGAGTGAAAAAGTTGGCTTAAAGCTCAACATTCAGAAAACAAAGATCATGGCATTCATTCCCATCACTTCATGGCAAATAGATGGGGAAACAGTGAGAGACTTTATTTTTTTGGGCTCCAAAATCACTGCAGATGGTGACTGCAGCCATGATATTAAAAGATGCTTGCTCCTTGGAAGAAAGTTATGACCAACCTAGACAGGGGCTTCCCTGATAGCTCAGATGGTAAAGCGTTTGCCTACAATGTGGGAGACTGGGGTTCGATCCCTGGGTTGGGAAGATCCCCTGGAGAAGGAAATGGCAACCCACTCCAGTATTCTTGCCTGGAAAATCCCATGGACTGAGGATCCTGGTAGGCCACAGTCCCTGGGGTCGCAAAGAGTCGGACACGACTTAGCGACTTCACTTCACTTCAGACAGCATATTAAAAAGCAGAGACATTACTTTGCCAACAAAGGCCCGTCTAGTCAAAGCTATGGTTTTTCCAGTAGCCATGTATGGATGTGAGAGTTGGACCATAGAGAAAGCTGAGTGCCGAAGAATTGATGCTTTTGAACTGGGTGTTGGAGAAGACTCTTGAGAGACACTTGGACTGCAAGGAAATCCAACCAGTCCATCCTAAAGGAGATCAGTCCTTAATATTTAGGACCTATCCTAAAGCTGAAACTCCAATACTTTGGCCACCTGATGCAAAGAACTGACTCATTTGAAAAGACCCTGATGCTGGGAAAGATTGAAGGCAGGAGGAGAAGGGGTTGCCAGAGGATGAGATGGTTGGATGGCATCACCGACTCAATGTACATGAGTTTGAGTAAACTCTGGGAGTTGGTGATGGACAGGGAACCCTGGCACGTTGCAGTCCATGGGGTCGCAAAGAGTAGGACACGACTGAGCAGTTGAACTGAACTTAGTAAAATTGGATGATACTCTCCATATTTCTCCATAAGTGGAGCACTTGGAACCTCCGGCGTGTCCCCACCTGCCCCTGTCCGCCCCTGCTGGTGGAAGGCCCATTGTCCTTGGGATCCCCCGAGTGTTAGAAGTGACACGGGACCTGACATGCTCTGAGCCGGGTGCTGCACAGTTAATAGCAGGAAAGCTTCATTTCCTGTGTGTGTTTTTTTGGATTCCTGTCTTGAGTAACCCCTGCCTATACCCAGTTTGCAGATCTCTGCTCGGGGGAACCTCACTCACCCTATAGCTAATACTAGCTTCTTGACCCAAAATTCAGACACACTGAAGCCCTTGAGGGAAGGTACCCACTTTTTAATCAAGGGCCTCTAGCATCTTTCTGGACCTGAAGAGATGGCGGATTTCACACGGATTCCCAGGAGCCTGGCTGCAGCCAGCAGAAAGAGTCATGCCGGCCTCTGGCCAGTCACAGCAGAGGTCATCTCAGACCCCCACCCTCCCCTATCAGCTGGAAGACGTGGAACTCCGAACGGTGGAGCAGCCCCTGGAGGAACGTAGGGGCCAGAGGACAGTCCCGCAGATGGTAGTTCTCACAGTCACCCGGGAAACTCCCGATTCCAGCAAACCCCATAGCTGGGGGGCAGGGGGGGTGGGGGAGTGCAGCCAGAGCCCTGGCATCAGAACAGAAGAACTAGCTCCTTCCTCAGTTCAGTTCTCTCCATCGTGTGTGACTCTTTGTGACCCAGTGGACTGCAGCACGCCGGGCCTCCCTGTCCATCACCAACTCACGGAGCTCAGCTCCTTCCTCAGCCCCACACAGACCCGGGCCAGGCGCTTTCAGACGGGCCAGGGCCTTCAGAGTCTCGGCTCTGGCCTGCGTCCCGAGGCAGCCACATCTCAGGTGGGCCACTGTCTGCCATCTCCACCCCCGAGGGCCCTCGTGGGCTCTCTGGGCTTGGGGTACGGTTGTTAGATGGAGGCTGTTTCTGGCTTTATAGCTGCGAGCCCGAGAGAGAGAGTGTGTGTGTGTCTTCTATTTCAAGTTTCTTCTCCTGCTCAAAAACCTTATTTGAAAAAAAAATGAACTGAAAGCCGAGCTCTCCTCCCGCCGTCTGGGGCCCCTGCCCTCCCTGCCTGTCCCCTCGGGGCTCCAGCAGGTCAGCCAGAGGCCCACCGCCGGTCGGGGGTCGGTTCTCCCGGGGCTCCTCAGCCTCCCGCGTGGCCGGTGCGTCTGCGGAGGAGGGCTCCCGTCAGCCCGGACCCTGTCTGCCTTTGGGCCTCTTTCAGTTCCCTCACGGAAACTCTATGTTGTGCATGTATTGGGTGCACAAGAGTCAGCCACTGTTTGATGAAGGCCTTTTTTGGAAAAAGGAAAGCACCATTAATCAAGCATTATAAACGTAAGCTCCCAACTATGGTCATCGTGACCCGGGAGAGGGACCCCAGGGCAGTGAGACCTTACACCGGGGGCCGGGTCTGGGGGTCGGGAAGGCTGCCCTGGGGGGCATCGCCCGGCAGGAGGAAGAAGCAACCCCAGGGTTGGTGGGCGCTGGCCCGGTGGGGAGGGTGGGAAGAGGGTCCAGGCTGAGGGGTGGCCTGTTCCGATCCCCTGCCGAGGGTGGGTCCTGGCCAGCAGGTGTGAGCAGGTGGGCTGAGGGGAAGCTGGGGGCAAAGGAGGATGATGTGCAGACGGTGGGCGCCGCTTTGGGTTGGGGGGACACATGGGAAGGGGCCCAGGCAGTGCTGGGTGGGGCAGTCAGCTCTCCCCCAATAAACGCCCTGACTTCTACGGGGTAACAACTCCCACCTGGCTTATTTCCCACCACTGGCGACTTGACCACCTTTCTCTCCAAATTCCTGGATATTGGCCATCAGCTCTTGGGGTCTGGTACTGGGACCCCACTGGCCCTGCCCCGTCCACTGGGGAGACCAGTTATGAGGTCTCTGGAGTACTCCAGGCGTGAGACTGGATGAGGCTGATGGTTGTGGAGGGGGCAGATTTAAGTGTTGCTTTCAGGGTGACAGTCGGCAGGAGGTAGGGGTGGGGTGGACTTGAGGGGCTGGCGGGAGGCATCCAGCGTTCGCAGGTGTGTGGTGAGCATTTGGCCGTGCCCTGGCTCAGTCCAGGAAGCACTCCAGGTCCTCCTGGGCTGGTCCCCCCGTCGGGGAAATCCCTGGGCTGCTCTGGGTACTCAGGGGAGGGTCTTGATCAGTGTTCACTGTCAGAACATGAGTGGCGTGCTCTCTGGGAGATCCCCTTGTGTTCTGAGCCTCTGGAGGAAGGCAGCCAGGAGAGGGGTGGCTATGTAACTCCAGTCGGGCAGAGTCATGGATTCTACTGGATGTGACAGCTATGCATGTTTGCCTAACACTCCATGTACCTCGTCCATAGAGAGAATACTTGTACTTCCTCAGAGGCGGAGTCCCATGCGAGAGCCTAAGCGTTGGCACCCTCATTGGGATGAGAGACACCTAATGATCAGACCCACATTTGTGGAGAATGTTCCGCGTGCCTGCATGGGTGAGACGTTTCACCTGCTTTGTCTCCAGCCAGCAT